TGGACCAGAGATACAGCTCAGTGGCACAGCATTATCAAGGCCAGCCTGAGCTGCATATCGAGACCCTGTCTCAAAAAAAAAAAAAAAAAAAAAAAAAAAAAAGGACTAACCAGGCAAGAAGTTTGCCAGTACCAGTGAGGAAACAAGAAGTGAAATATTTATGTAGCTATGGATCTTTTCATTTTGATGTTTTGTATGTGTACCTGAGGTACATCATGCGGTAGGGTAGTTGTCTTATTTATAAACTATCCTATAATAAAGGAAGACCTTCCACTTACATAATGAATTATTTTCATGCTAAACTTCTGTGCCTCACCTTTATTCAAGCCTTCTTAAAAAAATTACTGAACCAATATAATTAATTTAAAAATGGTTAGAAAATTTAAAATCCCTTTACCCAATTATAGTTCTTTCTGTCTTTGGAGTGTCAAATGTTTTTAAAATACTAATACCTTATACATAATCACTTTTCGATTTCAGTCCTAACAATTTATAATAAACAGGTACAGAAGCATTGACATTTGTATATGTAGACGTGATTTCTAGGGCCCACACCGGAGGTTTAAGTCTTTCATCCCAATTATCTAGGAGAATGCAAGCTACTTTTATATTTTATCAATTTTCCTGTTAAAGAAATCCACAGCCATTTTTGTGGTGTTTAAAAGAGGATGCTTCCTGGGTGGAACTGATTTAGCAGGTTTTTAGATGGCTTGCTGAGGAAGTATTAATTACTGTTTTTGCCCACCCATCTTATAAGATTTATTATAATTCTTTCTTATGTCTAAATGGTAAATATGGAAAAGAACTGAGGTTTTACTTCTACCCCATTCTTATGTATACATCCTTCTTACAAGCTAATTATGCTGCCTTATGGCATAAAGAGTCAAAGTCAAACTTTCAGGCAAATTTTCCATTTGGAGGAGGGATTGTTTTTACATCTAACCAGTGATATTTGGGACTTTTGATTCAGTCTAAGAAAATACTGTATGAGGAATGTAGAATATCTAAATTATATCTTGAACAAGAGCTTGCTTTATGTTTTTTCTGTATCTCAAAGAATGGGCTGAGAGAGAAAGAGTAGCAGAGATTTTAAAATTATTCTGAGAAGTATATGAAAAAGGAGAGATAATTATAAGTGTATATTTTGTATCTTTTTGAGCGCATAAAAGTAACTGTCTCATTAATGTCTGTCTTTTCCCTTTGGCTGGTGTAATAACCTCAAGAGTGCACATGTGTAACAGATGACAAGTATGTTTGTAATAGTGAGTAAAGTAGTGCTTTACCTTCTTACCTTATGTTTCCTCAGAGCCAAACAGCTGTGTAAATAAAAGATTTGCTGTGTTGCTCTAAAGAAGCTTTGGGCCTGACTGTTGATGCCCTAAGATCCAAAAGTGCTGGGTTTGTTTCCAAACACTGTATTTCTTTTAAGAATTTGACATTGGAGCACCCCGTAATATAATCGCTTTTTTTTTTCTAGTTGTATTTCTTCCAAAATAGAGCCATTCAAAAATAATAATGGATTTTGGCTATTACTACACCAGGATCTGCTTGAACACTTGTTCTATTAAGCATTGAGGAATTATTCAGCAATCCTATTGAAGTTGATTCTGCTAACTTCAAAGTATTACTCTGTTAAGAACGGATTTTGAGTTTTTTTTTAAATAAAGGAGAAATTTCCTGTCACTGAGATACAGTAAAGAGCATGTGTATGTGGCAGCTGATTATTCTCAGGTCCTGGTGAAGACAGACAAAGGTGTCCTGAGTCAAAATAATGTAGGGCAAAGAGCCTACAGTATGTCAGGGTTCTCGTGAAACAAATAGCTCATAATTTATAATCTCAGATTCATATGGACTTTAGAGATCTTTCAGCTGCCCCCCTCCCCAAAGACAGCGAGATGGCAGGCGTGTGCAGAGACAAGCTCTGTCAGCCCCTCCCCTGAGTTACGTTATCAGCCTCCTTCAATACACATGGAACCAACAGTGGTGAACCCAGATTCATAGCTGTTTATTTAATTCAGTTAGTGGGCACCAAAGGCTATTGGAACATAATCCTCTGCTGTATTTATTGGAAATCAACCCCAACTCACAATTCAATGTCTGTGACACAGAGAGAGAACAGGAATGTGTGTCTCCTGGAAGCAAACTCAAAAGAAAAGATTTAATATGGTACCAGAGATTAAAAAATTTAACAAGAAAACCAAGATGGATTGGTTAATTGTTCTCAAGCTTCTGGGATGGCTGTAAGGTTCAGAAATTAAATAACCCACTAGATGAGATAGGTTTTCTAAAAATTGTGGATAAAATTCTCATAAGTTTGCCATCTTAACCGTTTTTAAGGATCTAGTTCAGAGATGTTAATGTTGTTGTATGGCTGCATTTCCAGAACTCGTTTCATCTTGCAGAACTGATTTTTTTTCCCTGTAAAATTGCAGAGATAGAATTTTTTTTTTTCCAGTACTGGGAATTGAACTCATGACCTTGTCCTTGCCAGGCAGGCACTGTGCCGCTGAGCTAAATCCCCAGCCCCCAATAGAATGTTTTGAGAATGGCAGAGATCAGTGACAGTCTATCAGTTTTTATTGAGAAAGCGGGGCGGTTAAGGGGAGTTCTAGGTCATTCATACTTTCTCTTGAGACTTGGCTCAATAGGCTGAGAATTTAATAGACCCTTGCAGCAAGTTTTGTCACTGGGCTTTGCAAAGTTGTGCAATTATTTTCTGCTTAAAAGAAAGCCTAAAAACTAATAGCATGTTTATTGAAAAGCTCACAGAAAATTGCCTACTTTGGGAATTTGTGTTTAATTACTTGGCGAGTTCATTTTCCTTGCTTTAATAACTTTACCTAGGATTTGAGTGATAGGACTTAGTATCAGGAGTTTGGGCAAGTCTTCCTTAGTTAGGAAAAAGAAGTAGAGCACCCTACTCTTTTTTTTTTTTTGTCTTTTTACTCAGTTCTATGTCATACATCCCCAAGTGTGACTAATTTCCTTTGTTGAAAACCAACACCAAATGAAATATGGAAGCCTCTGTGTGTTCAAGTAAACGAAACAATCTCTAGTGGTCTTTCTCAGTAGATATTTTGAGATTTTTTTTTTTTCCTCCTAGTGGATAAGGTTTTTACTAAACATTAGATCTTGATGAAGGAACAACCATAAAAGTAAAACAATGTTTGACTTCAAGTCTCCTTGGGCAAATATAGTTAAGTAACAGTATAGGGGAAGATATCTTAAAGGAACTTAAAAGAAATACATATGTAGTCTCTTTGCATCTTTACACTTTTATAGGCCTTTGGTGTAAAGCTGTTAATAGGTTCCTATAGGCTAAAGGCAGGTCTGGACACATTTACCATTCTACAGTATAATGATATTAAGTACTTCACTGTTGAAGAATTGCCACACTAGAAGTTGGTGGTTTTTTTTTTTTTTTTTTTTTGCCACACTAGAAGTTGCCATCATCTTTTAGCTGTGCTAGAACAGTGCTATTAATGAAAGATAAACATTGTGATCACTTGTAGAACATAAAACAAATACAGACTAAATGATTAGATCAAGGGTGGGGCCTAGGCATGTGACTTTTTATAAACTAAAGCTCCAGGAAGTGGTAGAATGAGACTCCCCAATCAGTAACTCCTGCACAGAGAAATTCTAGCTTTAATATGAATATCAAATGACATCAAAGAGCTCTCAGTTTTTAAAGTTAGAAAATTTTTGACTTCTATATTCTTTTTTTGAAGACTGTTTTGGACTGAGTGTGTTGGTCCATACCTGTAATCATGTTATTTAGGAGGCTGAGGCAGGATTGCCATGAGTTTGAGGCTAGCTGGGCTATATAGTGAATTCAAGGCTAACCTAGACTCCGTAATGAGACCCTGTATCAAAGAAAGCACCCCCTCAAATTTTTTTGACATTTATCTATGGAAGTGAATAAGTTTTTTTGTTGCTGTTTTTTTGAGACAGATTTGATATATAGACCAGGCTGGTCTTGAACCTCTTCCTGCCTCAGCCTCCCAGGTACTGAGATGACAGTTTGTGTCCCACCACACCTGGCCTAAAGGAGACAGATTTGATAAAAAGTATTTATACAACTTTACTGTATTTTGTGGTAAATGAAGAACAGTATTGCCTATTTATAAGAGAAACTTAAAGAGTTGTGTCATGTAGGTAAATTCAGTTTTCAGTTCTCAGTGAATGAACAGAAGTCAGTTATTTTATTTAGTAACAGTTGGAAGAAACAGTTGTGAATTTACTGAAAAATGTACAGCATACCCAAAGCTATGTATATGGAATTGAAGGAATTTTCAACAGTAATGTTGACTTTACACAGTGTAATAGTGTATACTATACCTAGCAAGATGTCAAGTTCATTAAAAATGTTAGCCAGGCATGGTGGCGCACACCTGTAATCTCAGCACTCAGGAGGCTGTGCAGCAGGACTGCTGCAAGTTCCAGGCCAACCAGGACTACATAGTGAGATAGTCTCAAAAAATCAAGAATTTAAAGTGTTATCCATTTAGTCATGTATCATCTTGTGCTTTGGTTATTTTTTTCATCTCATTATAACTTTTTTTTTTTTTTTAGAGATAAAGAAGCCACCAGTGGCCCCCAAGCCAAAGTTCATGGTGGCAAATAAGAAGCCAGCTCCGCCTGCTATTGCCCCGAAACCTGACGGCATGGTTGCTAGCATTCCACACTCAGCAAAGAAAACTAAACCAGCAGTTGCACCCAAACCTAAAGTTCTGAAGACCGCACCTATGGGAGAGCCGTCGCCGTCACTGCCAAAGAGAACCACTGAGACCCTGGGAGAGCATAAACCAGAGTGGCCCCAAAGCACTGACACCTTTAATTGCAAAAATGTAGGGGATCAGAGCAGCGATTCTATTCTACCGAAGTGTGCCTGTGGTTCTGAATGTATCTGTAAGCTTGGGAATAAAAAGAAGATGTGTGTAAAGCAGCTTGTTTTAGAGCCCTTGGAAATGAAAGAATGTTTAGAAAACAGTAAAACGGATGAGTCCTCTTTGACAATAAAAACTCAGATGAAGTGGAATTCTACTGAAAAGTATAGGAGCCACAGTGGAGTGATTTTAAAGGCAAGCATCCTAGAAGCCAAGCTCAAAGATGCTCTGAAACAACAAATGTCAGCTTTCGGTCACCTGCAGAAGCACAAATCCACAGGTAGCTCAGAAGTGAATGAGGGCAGCAGCGCCGACGCGCGGTTCAGAAGTGGTCCTCCAGATGCCTCACCTTCCCCGTCCAGCTTCGAAAATGTGCCTGTTTCTCAGAACTGCCACTTGCAGCTTCCTAGGGGTGAATTTCAAAAGCTTGAAACTTTGGAGGAGGGAAGCAAAAAAAGCAATAATTACTTTCATTCCTCTGGATCAGAAGCTCTGGGAAATGGTAAAAAAGATACATGTGTATCTTCAGATGAAGTTACTAAGCACACAAAAGTCAGAGACCTCAGTCCTGTAGAAATGGACTCAGTATCAGGTAGCCCGAAATTTCCTAACCTAAAGCCCAGAAAGACACGTCTGTTACGCCAAAAGCATGTAGATACACCTAGCGAAAGTGCTGTGGAACCGGAGAATTTAAATAATAGCTCTTCTTGTCTTGGTGAAGTTAGTTCAAAAAACAGTGAAGTCAGTGTTCTTCAGGAGAACGTTTTGTGTCACCTGAATTCAGTGAACAAAGTGAAGCCGGGAAATAAAAGTGAACTGAATAGCAGCTCCAGTCTGGACAGACAGGACTTGTGTCATGAGACATCTTCCCTTGAGAACACGGCCCCTTCTTTTGATACAGACTCTAATTTGAGTTCTGACAGCAGGGCAGATACAGATGGTCCTAGTACATCACTTGATGTGGACAAAGAGACCTATTTTACAAAATCCAATGCGTTGTCTTGGAGCCTGCCTAAGCAGCTCAAATTAACCTGCAGTGACCATCTGCCAGCTGGGAACCTGGAAGTGTCTGCATCTTCAGTGCAGAAGGACTGTGTGAAGAAAGAGGAAAGTTCCTCAAGAATTGTGCCCAAGAAACCTCAAAGGCACAGCTTGCCTGCTTCAGGGGTGCTTAAGAAGGCTGCCTCTGTGGAGCTGGTGGAGAAAAGTTCTTATCCCTCAGTTGAAGTAAAAAGTTCAGGGAAGGTTCTAGAAGGAAATCACCTTCAGCATTTGTGTGCCCGAGACCACCCTAGTACGTCATCCTCCTTTGATATGCCTAAACGGACTTCAGAAAAGCCGGTGTGGAAATTACCTCATCCTATTTTACCGTTTTTAGGGAACTCAGAATCCTTAAAGTTTGTCACCGTGTCTTCCAGTGATGAGGCTTCCGCTGCCCTAACCAAGCCGAGAGCGAAGTCGTTGTCCTCGGTGGATCTGGACAGGTGCACCAAGCCTTGCAAACACTCCCCTAAGAAGAACTCTTTCAGACAGTTGTTCAACAGGAAGCTATCCATGTGCTTTATGAAGGGAGACTTTCAGAAATTTCGACCCAGGAGTAGCCAGCCAGGAGACACAAGCAGAGGCTGGCTGTCAGCCGGGGCGTGGAGAGGGCTTGGCAGTGACTGGCGCAGCCTGGTGGTGGCCGACCTGGAGAAAAGAGGCAAACCCAGCAAGGCCTACTCTGCCGATCACTACAGTCCGGAGTCTCAGAAGAAGAAGAAGAAGCAGAAGCTTTGGGGAGGGACTGGTGCAGATTACGGTCCAAGAGCGGAGTCTCTGGATGAGCAGATGCTCTCTGGGGAACCCTCCTGTCGGGAGGCCGGCAAGGTGGTGACAAGTGTCTGTGAGCCGGAGTATGAAAATGTGCGCCATTATGAGGAGATCCCGGAGTATGAGAACTTGCCCTTTGTTACGGCCACAGGGAAAGCTCCCAAGTTGGAAGGGCAGAATTCCAGCAGCATGGAGGACGTGGATGCTAATGTGCCCAAGGTGCAAGAGCCAGACGAAGCTGCAGGTGATCGGATGCCCCTGGGGCCTGGACATCAGCTTTCCAGGTAACCCTTGGGTGCCCAGTAGGCGCGACATTTCACTTTTTTAGTTTTTATTTTCTATTACTGTGTGCTTGCAGTGCACACTGATCATGTTACTCCCTGGGACTGTTACATTCCATAACGCATCTTAATTCTTTTTCCTCCTCTTCACCTGCCCTCCCTCCCTCTCTTGATCTTCTTCCCTTTTGTGAAAGATCTACCTCCCTATTTCTTGTTAACTTTTATTTTGGTTTTTATTTATACTTCGGGTTTTTCATATTAGAGAAGCCGTGTGCTATTTAAGCTCATATGTCTGATTTATCTTAACGTAGAGTTTCAAGGGGCATCATTTTGCTACGGATGACTCGTTTATTCTTGATGGCAGAGTAGTATTCTATTGTGTGTAAATAGCACATTTTTAAAATCTGTTCATCTGTGTGTAGACTATAGGCTGCTTCCAAGATTTAGCTGTTATGAATTGTGCTTCTTTGAACATGGATATGTATGTGTCACTGTAAATATAATGTCTTAGCTCTTTCAGGAAGATACTAGAAGGGGACTGTCTTGGTCAAATAGAATTTCTCTCCTTAGCCTTTTGAGGGATCTCAATACTGATTTCCAGAGTGGTTGTGCTACTTCACGTTTGTGCCAAAGACGTAGAAAGGTTCTTTTTCCTTGTAGCCTTGCCAGCATTTACTAGTATTTGATTTCTTGATTTCTCCCTGGAGTAAGGTGGAGTTTGTTGTTTTCATGTGTGTTTCTTGAATGGCCAGTGGTGTTAAACATTTTCTCATGAATGTATTGGCCAGCGGATGCCACATTTCTGTATATGTCATTGCAGCTAACCTTCGGCAGCCCTGTGAAACAGGAATGGTGCGGGGAGGTCGCTTGGTGAGGGACTGACGGGGAGATGCTTTGTCCACCTACAGCCTCTTGTTATTGCACTGCAGAAGTGAGTATTTGCACTGCAAGCTTGGAGTTGTTGACTTATTTTAGCAGCTGAGTCAAAGAATTTAAGTAGTGGCAGTGTAGTTACTACAAGGCAGGCCTGGAACAGAGAGGTCAGCAGTCTTAGTGTGGAACCTGGGACAGGAAATTGGTTAATTCAGTGAGGTTTTTGTGCTAGGGATAGGAAATGTGAAGTGCTGAAATCCATACATTTACTTATGGTTTCCTTATCAGATAAAAACTCAGGGTTTATGGGAGTTTTTTTGTCTTGTTTTGTTTGAGACAAGGTCTCACTGTGTAGTTCAGGCTGGCCTTGAACTCCTGGAGAGCCTCCTCATAAAGGAGTTAAACTCTCCAGCATCTTATTAGAGTCTCCAACAAATAGAAAAGCAGGTCTCTTATTTTCCTGCCAGTTTCTGTGTATCCCAGGCTGGTTTCAAACTTGCCCAGAAGCCCCTTTTGAAGTCTTCAGATTTCTCCTAGGCCAGTAATACCAGGTCTTTGGGTTCCCAGGTCTTAAAAATGTGGTTTTCATAGAAATACAGTGGTACCTCAGTTCACAAAAACTTTTGTTTGTGGGCAGTTTGGTTCGGAAACAGAAGCATTTGCCAAAATTTTGGTTTTGTTGCAAACTCTGTATTGGGTGATAAACATGACATTTGTGAGTTAAGGCACTGCTGTGCTAACATACCCAGCACTCAGTTGGCGCTCAGAAGGGGGAGGGTCAGTGGCTGAGCTGAATAAAAGTCAGATAAATCAGTGCAACCAGTAACTTCAACAGAATCACTGCTCAAACTCTGATGCTCTGCTTGGGTTGTTTTGGTTTTTATTTGTTTTGTTTTTGAGATGGTGTCTCACTACGTAACCCCTGCTGGCCTCAGACTGTGGTGATCTTCCTGCCTTAGCCTCTTGAGTGCTGGAATTCCAGGCATGAGCCACCATGCCTGGCAAGTGACCTCTGTAATGCTTTTATATATTGCTTGCGTCTGTGTGTGTGTGCACATGTGTGTGCATACAATGAATTTGGTTGGCTTCCTCGAGATATACTAGTATATGGCTACCATAAAATTGTTTCTTGAAATTGAAGGTTTGGCCCTTCCTATTGGGACTCAGATTTAAATCCCGGGTGTTTACATTTTCCACTGTCTCTTGACACAGGCTTGGTACTTCTGGAATTTGTTCTTTTTTTTTTTTAAGACAGGATCTCACTGCAAAGTTCAGGCTGGCCTTGAGCTCACTGTGTAGCCCAGGCTGGCCTTGAACTTGCAGTGAAATGATCCCCCCCGCCTCAAGTTCTTCGACTGTGCTGCTGGCTGTGGGGCCCCAGGTTGGCAGGGGTGAAGGTACCCAGACAGCCAGTGCTGCTGGGTGGGTACCCCTGAGGGAAGTTCTGGAGGCTGAGGGTTGCCCAAGACTGTCCAGCAGGACTACCCTGGGAAGGGTCCACAAGCTCTGCTTTGAAATTTCACCTTCCTGCTTTGGAGATTTTTTATTTAGCCCTGGAGCGGGAATTCCCTAACTGGGCTTCCAGACTTCTAAACTGTGCCTGCTGAGTTAGAAGCTTTCAGTATTAGGGTCAGACTCACAGCACTGCCTCAGAAGCCATTGCTGTTTATGTTAGTGTTTTGAGTCAGAGTCTTGCCTTGTAGCCCAGGTTGGCCTGGGACTCCATGCATCTTCCTGCCTCAGCCTCCTGAGTGCTGGGATTATAGGCCTGCATCATCACACCCAACTGAGGACATTGCGCTTTTGTAAACTACATTGAATAGTCATAGAAAGCAAAATCCAAACCTCATGAGCGGGGAACCTGTATACCCTGAAATAAGGTAAATGAAAAGCAGGACACGTGAGCCGAGTGGGTGTAAGCAGAACTCCTGCCTGGTTGCTGAATTTGTAGATCTGTGTCTTGGAAGGATTAATTGAAATCCAACATCCTGTCTAGGGTCCTAACATGGTAAGAAAAAAAAGAATCCCATTAAGATTTTCCTGGTGAGTCACCAGTGGTGTCAGTAACAGTATGTCAGCCCTGGAAGGAGAGAGGCTGGGCTACCTAGGGCCCTGGGTCAGAGAATCTCTGGTTTTAGAGTCTGCTAGTGAACCAGGCGTGGTGGCGCACACCTAAAATCCCAGCACCCAGGAGGCTGACGCAGGAAGATTGCTGCAAGCTCGAGGCCAGCCTGGGGTAACTAGTGAGTTCAAGCCAGCCTAAACAAAAACAAAACAAAACAAGAAAACAAATAGTTTGGCTGTTTAACAAGCTGGATTCTGGATGAATACAAGGACATTCTGCAAGCCCAGTGTAGCTCCTATGATCACCTTCTCCAGAATGTAGATATTTCATAAATCTGACAGATATGTGGCCACATGTTTATTATTTACAAGGGAGTGTCAGGCAACCCTCAATTCTATTGTTTGATTGATTGATTGGTTGAGACAGGGTCTCACTATTTAGTGCTTTCTGGCTTTCAACTCACTGTGTACCCCAGGCTGGCCTGGAACTGCACTCCTGAGTGCGTGACAAACTAGACCTCCTACTACATCTCCCAAGTAAGCCTCCCCTCCCCCCATTACTATATTAGCCTTTGCTGTTTAGGCCTGCCCTCCCTGTCCCCAGGCAATTCCCTGGACCCTTCACTGTGGGTTCCTGTGATACAAGCCAGGGCTAGGGCTGAGGCAACAGGGTTTGTGCTAAGGGCGAGGTAGCTGAGGAAGAATGAGGAAGTTGGGGGCTGGGCTTGCTGTGAGGCTGACTGTTAAGGCAGGGGAGTGATGAGCAGGAAGGGTGGGGTGGTTGGAAATCTGTAAGCAAAGGATTTCACTGCGTCTCATCCCTTCTCATTTTATTTTATTTTCTGATACAGGGGATTGAACCCAGGGCCTTTACACTGAGCTACATCCCCAGCCCTTTAACTTTCTATTTTGAGACAGTGTTTCACGGAGTTACTCAGTTATCCAGGCTAGGCTCAAACTTGGCCATCTTCCTGCCTCAGCCTCCCAGAGTGCTAGGAACATGAGCATGCACTACCACAGCCTGCTCCTGTCCCTTCTCTTCCTCCGCCTTCTGCTTTGCTAATTTTGCCTGGCTCTGGGTGTCTGACCTCAGACAAGAGTGAGTGGGAGAAACTGCGGGAGTGGGGGTGAGGAGGGTGCTGGAAACAGGATGGGGGAGGGGAAGGTGGAGGAGGGGAAGGGGCATGCTCTAGGCGGCATAGGTCACCTTTTGGTCACTGCCCTGCAATCTCCAAAGCAGTTTGGATGGAAGTCAGACTGGAGCCCCTTGGCATATTCCAGTGAGTTTGGGATATAGTTGTGGCCCTTGTCCATGGACACTAATGTCTCACTGGCGTGCAGGTGACGAGTTTGCATTTCCTACTGCTTTTATTCAGGCAGTTGGATTTTCAGAGGGAAGGTCCTAAAAGTTGGGCCACAGATGAGTCAGCAAAGCAAGAGATTTAAATGCTGGAATTTTCCTTTTGAAATTGAGGCAGACTTCTTGATTTTTGTAAAAAAGAAGCTTTCCTTGGAGACTTTCCAAGTTCTTCCTGTGTTGCTGTGGTTTGTTCTTAGGACGAGCATTTCAAAGAAAGAAAGTTAAAGGGTGGGGTCGCTTCCAGGTACTGTATGGCACCCTCGGTTTGTTGGCTCTGCAGGAGGGAGCAGGTGTTAAGCACTGCGTTCCAAAGAGCTCTGCCCAGTCAGGAAATTGAGACAGTTATAGTACAACACGCTTTTATTAATCAGGCTTCATCTACTTGGACTTGTGTGAGTTGTCTGCTGAGAAGGGCATTAAAGAAAACCTTACAGCCAGGTGTGGTGCCGCATACCGACAGTCCAGACACTGGGAGGCTGAGGCAACGTGGTGTTGTCTTTGGTAGCAACACATTGAGACAGATGAAATTGGTATATTTTGAGGGGAAGGTGACATTTTTAGAGCTAATTAATTAGTTTTTCATTTCTCAGTGCAAAGGCCCTGAGTTCATTCCCTAGTAACACACACACACACACACACACACGCAAGAGGCAACCTTCCAGAGGTGGTAACCTTTGACCAAGGTTTTTTAAATGGGCCAGGTTAG